TGCTGTGACAAAACACTCTGACCAGTACCAACTTGGGGAGGAAAGGGTTTATTTGTCTTACAACTCCCAGGTCGCAGTTCATCAGGGAGCCCAAGGTAGGAACTCAGGGCAGGAACCTGGAGGCAGGAGCTGGAGCACAGGCCATGGAGGAACGCTGCTTACAGGCTTGCTCCCTCGGCTCCTGCTCAGCCTGCTTTCTTATGCAACACAGGCCCACCTGCCCAGGGGTGGCACCACCCACAGTGGGCTGGGCCCTCCCACATCACTCATCAAGAAGATGCCCCTCAGACATGGCCACAGGCCAGTCCAATAGAGGCAATTCCCCGATTGAGGCTCCCTCAACCCAGGTGTGTCAAGTTGACACTAAAGCTATCCAGCACACACATAAAATAAAATAAAAATATCACACTATAAAATAGTACATTAAAAATCCCAAAGTCCTTAAAAATTAAAACATTTCAAAACTAAAAGTCTTTTAACTGTGGGCCTCTATAAAATCCAAAAGATGTTACATACTGTCTTATTTCAAAGGGAAGAATCGGGCACACCTAAGAAAAACCAAAGTCCAGCAAAGCAACTCAAGGCTGGACATCTGGGATTCAGTCATGATTCTCTGGACTCCTCCACTTCTCTGACTCTGCCCACCCACAGCACAAACAGTTTGTCTCATCAACAAAGGTCAGCTCCACTCCACACGGGCTGCTGACCTTGGTGGTCGTCCCATGGTTCTGGCATCTCCAAAAAGCTGGGGTCTCCACTGAAACTGAGGCTGCAGCACCACCAACGGGCTCTTCTGGCCTCTTAGAGTGCAAAGGCTCAGATTCTCTCCATGACCCCTGCAATCCTGGGGTCTTCTGTGCTACTGAGACTGCACCTTCGCCAATGGCCTTTACCTCTCAGTGCCAAACCTCAGCTGCTCTCCAGGACCCCTCATGCCTTCAAAGACCCTAACATTTAGGAAGACTCTTACACTTTACCAAGTCCTGCTTCTAGCTTGAGATGCAGGTTTTGCCCCTTGGAACAATTCAGCAATCAAGAAAATGCCCTACAGATGTGGCCACAGGCCAGTTCAATGGAGGAAATTCCTCCTTGGATGGTCCTTCAACCCAGGTGTGTCAAGTTAACAACTGAAGCTGTCCAGCACAATGAATGTGTATGAAATTGTCAAAGAATAAAAAATATTTTTTAAAGATGCCTTTTCAAAGAACAATATAGTAATAGAATTTTTATGCTGACTAGATTAACTAGAAATGAAGCTCACCCTTGGTCGTGACGAAAAAAACCTCCTCGGCCATCTCGTTCCGCGGAGCATGATTGGAAGCAGGAATCCAGTTTTGCTGTTATTAACATGTGGCTTGATATTAGTAATAATCACCAAGTCTCAGACCCATTGTTTCTTTTAAAAATATTTTATTATTTTTGTGTTTGAGTGTATTACTGCACGTATGTATGTAAGTGCACTACTGTCATGCAATGCCCACAGAGGTCAGAAGAGGGTGTGGGATCCCCAGGAACTGGAGTTACATATGGTTGCTAGCTATCATGTGGGTGCTGGGAATTGAACAAGGATCCTCTGCAAGAGCAGCCAGTGCTCGTAACTGCTGAGCATCTCTACAGCCCGTAGACCCATTATTTCACCTTCAGTATCAATCTTCAAGCCATCAAGTTGATGTGTTCACCTGTCTGGTCCTACACAGCACAAGATGCATTACGTAGATTGCTATATAGTCAGCCATATGCTGACAGCTCAGCAGAGATAAATCTGTTAATTGAATGCATACAGCTGTGTGTGTAAGGAGGGCTGGAAAAGGGGAAATCTTAGGGAGATAACAGGCAAGGACAGGCCAGGACGGAATTAAATGGAGTGGGTATTAAGGAATTTCCTTGGCGATAAGGCAGTTAGGGTACCCCGGGTCTCCAGCTTCCCCTGAAATCATGTATGGCTTATGCTTCTCAGAACTGAGAGCTTTTGTGCAGAAAGACATCACTGAACACTGTCACTCTGGCCAAGTGCACTGCATTTCTCTGGCCAACCCAGCCACATGCTCAGGAAGAGCAGTTTATATTTAGAAAGCAGTATGTGGGACCAGGCATGCTGGCACGAGCCTTTAGTCCCAGCACTAGGGAGGCAGAGGCAGGCGGATCTCTGTGAGTTAGAGGCCAGCCTGGTCTACATAGTGAGTTCCAGGACAGCTGGGGCCACAGG